TCTGGGATGGGGAGGCTTTACACTAACAAATTCAGTTCAGGTGAAGGGTTTTAAGCTGTAATGCACTTTGATTTCCTCAGCCCCTTTTGGGTAGAGTACTGTAACCCGGATTTGTTCATGACTCTCATATTTGTAGAAAGATATTTTGTATTTTACAACATCATGATGACATCAGTGCCAGTTTTGCTGGTTTAAGTACAAATGAATAAAATAACCCTTTTATCTCTAGCTGTCTCTGCCCTGCTTTTGACAGTGTTACTATAAGTAGAAATACAGTTTAAATAATAGATGTTTGTTCCATGGAAAACTAACCGGGGAGACTGCTGTCTTAGAAAAGGGTAGACATATAACAAGTATATACTCCCAGGTGACTCACTGTACCTTGAACAAACTTATTTCCTCTTCCTTGTGGTGCCCTTTTTTCAAAACATTACAGTTTGGTGGTTGTCCGAATTTAAAGAAAAGCACCACATCTTGAAGCTTTGGAGCAGAGAAGTGATCAGCAGAACTCTTAGGTTTGAAAAGTAGCTCGCTGGACTTGGTGGCTCAGCCTGTAATCCCAGCGCTTTGGGAGGCTGAGGTGTGAGTGGATTGCCTGAGCCCATGGGTTCGAGACCCGCCTGGGCAAATCGGCGAGACCTCATCTCTACAATAAACCAAAAAATTAGCTGGACGTGGTAGCACGTGCCTGTTTCTCCAGCTACCTGGAAGGCTGAGGCGGAAGGATCGCCGGAGCCCAGCAGGTCGAGGCTGTGGTGGCCAGGAAAGGCCACTGCACTCCAGTCTGGGTGACAGAATAAGACCCCAACTCAAAAAAAAGAAAAGTAGCTCAATTGCAGCAGCCAGGCAGGAGAATAATAGAAAGTGGGTGGAGTTTAAATGAGCAGGAAAAAGCGTCACCTAGTTGGAATCTTGCCTTGAATTCGTATATATAGGAAAGAATCTGTGACTGCTCTTCTGTGCAATTACAGCCTGCCAGAAATAACAATATTGAAATAAGCTTATCTTTATTTTTTATTGATGGGGTCTTGCTCTGTTGCCCAGGCTGGAGTGCAGTGGCATGATTGTGGCTCACCGCAGACTCAACATCCTGAGCTTAAGACATCCTCCCACCTCAGCCTCCCAAGTAGTTGGAACTACAGGGTAACTGGATAATTTTTTTTTTTTTTTGGGAGTTGGAGCCTCATTCTATGACCCAGACTCTGGAATGCAGTGGCATGCTCCTGGCCACCTGCTGTGCTCGGCCTCCAGAGATCCTTCTGCCTCAACCTCCCAAGGAGCCGGAACTACTGGCACACGCTCCCACACCCGGCTGATTTTTGATTTATTGTAGAGATGAGGTCTCGCCAAGTTGCCCGGGTGGGTCTCGAATCCGTGGGCTCAGGCAATCCACTCTCCTCAGCCTCCCAAAGTGCTGGGATTACAGGCTAAACCACCGAACCCAGCCTATAATTTTTTTTTTTTTGTAGACACGGGGTCTTGCTATGTTACCCAGGCTGGTCTCTCACTCAAGGGATCTCCTGCCTTGGACTCCCAACCAGTTGTAATTACAGGAGTCTGAGCCACTAGGCTCATCTGATTCCTTTTTTTTTTTTTTTAAATGGCTTCAAGCCTGTAATCCCACCACTTTGGGAGACTGAGGGGAGAGGATTGCCTTGAGCTCAGGGGTTCGAGATCAGCCTGGGCAACTTGGTGAGACCTTGTCTCTACAATTAAAAATAATAAGCCGGGCTCGGTGGCTCAGCCTGTAATCCCAGCACTTTGGGAGGCTGAGGTG